TTGTGTTTTTGTTTTAAATTCAGGTCAGATGCATATGATATCACAGAAGGTGAATCAAGATTTCTAGCTCGACTAGATTCTCTCTGGAAGGGATTTATCAACATGCCCAGTGTGGCAAAATTTGTTACCAAAGCCTATCCAGTCTCTGGCTCAGCAGATCACTTAACAGAGGTGCTATTCTCATCTTGTACCACTTTAATTTTACAAGTGCAGTTAAGATTTTGTTTTGCAATGTTTCAAAGTATGTGCGTATTCATTGTTCTGTCTATGACAAAGTACAGCTCAGAAACCATTGTATTGCTTTGTCCAACTTTATTATTTTGTATAACAAAAATGGCTTTCATTTTTGTATTTATAAAATGAAAACTTCTGTTAAATTTTACTTTTGTTCGTAAGGTGAATAGTAGATACAGCTTGTTACTGCAAACTGTAGTCATTGTGTTTTTCATCAATTTTCACTTTTCAGAAGGTGATGACTTATTGCTGGAGTGCAGATGCGAAGTGGCAATTGTTTGTATGTGCCTCATTCTTATGACCATATGAGAGTTTCAATTGTGAGGTTGTTTGGAGGGGTTGGCGTTCATTATAGCCAAAACATACCCTCTTCATTGCCACCTTATGGAATTTATTGAAGACAGGTTTGGCTCATTTTGGCACCTGAAAATTGCTCTGGTCAGGTGGACTTGTTACAGTTGTGGAATCAGTGGAAGTGATAGGGGAGGTGTTGAGGGACCAGTGACACCAGGGATTATGGAGGGAGGAGGTGAGACCTGTAACATTGATAGCAATGCTGTTTAATACAGTGTTTTAAGTAAAAAGCATCCACTTTTCATGAGGATTTTGCAAGACAGTAACCAGGCCTCAAAAATTGGCCTGCTAGGCTACATGCGCAAAAAATACTGTGAGAAGTTAAAGGAACAACACCGCTTTCAGCACTCGGTAAAAGCACCATGAGAACCAGTGCTGTCCCACAGCTGATGACCCCATTAAAGCTTGCAAATCACAGTTTGGAAAGCCCTGTTCTAGTAACCGATGAATATTGTACTTTCTGGTAGAAAAATGTTGTAGGAGCTGAAGGGAATTACAGGGGCTTAGAGAATAAACAAATTTGAACATCTACTGTATACATTGTTTAATTAACACACTGTGACATCTTCCCTTCCTAAAGGATTTACCAGATACCATACAAGTTGGAGGTAGGATTCCTCCTCAAATGGTTTGGGATTACGTGGACAAGATAAAAGCTTCAGGAACTAAGGTATGCTTTGAAAATAGACTTCAATGTTCTAGTCTGGATTGTAATTGTCTAAAATATTGATGTGTGGGTTCCATGGATCTTTTATTAATGTAGTAGTTGATATCTCCTTTAACAGTTGGCTTATATGTCAACATTTAAAAAGGTAGATTTATGAATCAGTGCTCATGTTTTGGAATTTGGGTGAAGAGTAGGATTTTCCATCCATTAATTATATTGGATGGCAGATTGGACAGGATACACTGGCTTCCACATCTGAACTTCTTAATATTCCCTTCCATCACAAAAGCTGTGTCATGAGCACTAATATGCAAAATATACTGAGTTTATTACTGTTATGATTCCAGCTGATGGTATTACTGGACAAGTCAGATCCCAGTCTGAAATCTAGATGGATAGAATTCATTTTTTATATTTAATAAGGTGATCTTTCACTGAAACACAAGCATGCAATGGTGTAGATCTGAAATGGAAGTTTGTTATACAAAAGAATTTGAAACAAAATAGAATAGACCAAACTATTTGCATACAGCACTGTTTGAAAGATTTTGAAACAGTAAAAATACACTATCTATTCCAACACCACCTCTTCACAGTAACCAAACATGGCATCTCAAACTTAATAAAAGGGGTTATGGGATACTGGGCCTTTATTAGCCGAAGCATTGAGTTCAAGAGCAGAGAGGGTATGTTGGAACTGTATAAAATGTTGGTCAGGCCACGACTAGAGAATATTGTGTAGTCTTCAAGTCCACATTATAGGTGGAGACATCATGGTGTGGAGCCGGAGGAACAAGGTCAGGCAGCAGCAGAGGAGCAGGAAAGTTGACGTTATGAGTTGGGACCCTTCAGAAATTGAACATTCTGGAGTTGTTTTCCTTGGACAGAGGAGACTGAGGGAAGACATGATTGAGATATGTAAAATTATCATGCTGCAAAGCTAGGACAAAACTATCAATAGGGAGAGGAATTAGATGTAATGTAAGGGATAGGGGATGTGAGGTGAACCTTTCCCACCCAAAGAGTGGTGGGAATCTTGAAGCTGCTACCTGCGAGGGTGGTAAAGGTAGAAACCCTCAATATTTAAGAAGTAATTAGATGTGCACTTGCAATACGTGGCATACAAGTCTATGGGCCAAGTGTGGGAAAATGGAATTAGAATAGTTGGGTGCTAGTTTTTGACTGGCACAGTCTTGATTGGCTGGAAGGCCTTTTCCCGTTTTGTAGACTTTGTGACTCTATTAACGTCAGAGAATTCCCTTGTTTGCCGTGTTTGTAGGGTTTGACTTCATTGTTGCTTTCAATTCCCAGCCTTAAGAGTTTGTTTGGTGCCTCCTTGAGTATTCACGTCGCTGAACTTAGTCTTTCTCAACTTTGAATAATCCCTTCAAGGTCTCAATCAAACATGTCTAGTGTGGAACTTTAGTCTAAAACCCTCACGCAGAGGTAATCTATTTGCTAACTTTCTGAATTACGTCCTTTCTCTAAAGAACTTCAATCAGGCGTTTTGTGAACTGTGACCAAAAGACTTTCCAAGCTATGGATGTTTTCCCTAAAACAAAAAAAAATTGATTCCTGATCCTTCTAACAGAGAGCAGCCTACTGCTGTTCAATGTTTACTTTGTCCATTCATAAAACTCTCTCACTGCAAACACTTGAACTCCATGGCTGCAGAAATTAAACCCCTGATTCATACATACCAAAACTTAAATGCTATTACTTCAAAATCCAAACTCCAAAATAAAATGTATTGAAGTATGTTATTTATAACTGTTCAATGTAACTCTTCTGTTCTCACTTTGGAAGCCAGGTTAATGAAGAGCAAGATTCTCTGTAATTTCTTTTCCTGCTATGTAGACTTTTGAGCTCCGTACATTGTAGTTGCTTCTTGAAGCAGAAACTAGCATGCTAATAAACGTGTGTAGAGTCTGAGTGGCTGCTCACGTTAGAGGAAATATTGATCGAGATAAAACTAAATTACAAGTCAACATTGAGGCTAATGTTATTAATTATGGAAGCGAAGAAAGTGCAGTTTAAGAATGCACTCGGCAATTTGAATTCCAATTTTTAAGAGAGAGCAGGTTTATTGTTTCTATAATCTCTTAGAAGAGATCTAAACCTATAATTGGATAACTATTTTTGACTCTAGTGAGCTGTAGGCATATGGTATAATGTGAGAAGGAACTGACACCATGTACAAATTCCCAGCAAACTACTTATTCTGAATTTGTTTCTTACTGTATTAAACAGGTTGGATCAAGTCACATGCAGAATGATTTATGTTTAAACAAACGGTGAAATTATAGTGCTACACGATGTATTTGTGCACTGTGAAGAGTTGCTGGAAGTAATTTTTGGATAGTAAGTGCACATAGCCAGACAGTTTTGCAGTTTTCCTTTGCTCAGTATATTACGTTAGTAATAGTAAACAGTGGCTTTTCCCCATTGTGCCTTTACAACTTCTGTCCCACATCTTGGAGCATCTCCAAGCATGAGGTCCTGGATCTTGGAATATGCCTGTTTGTGTGCTCGTGGACTTGGACAGTTCTGTTCACTGGAATAAGTATTTTCTTGAATACAACTGAGGTGGGTCGCTAGACATTGCATGGTGGTTAGGAAGCATCAAAGAAATTGCAATGCATCTGGACTAACACAGAAACCAGACTAGATAATAGTGGAGGGTCTCCTTTACCGAAGTACATTGCTGAACCAAATGAGTTTCATTTTTATGACAATCCAGTAGTCTTAAGATCGCCATTACTGTTGCTGGAATTTTAGTTCCAATTTATTTTTTAAACTGAATTTATATTCCCTAGTTATCATGGTGAAATCTGAGCTCTTATATCTGGTTCAGTTTTCTAGGCCGCTAGAATACCAGTTAAAAGATACAACCACTATGGCACTGTACTAGTATTTAGCACACGTTAGTTCATCCCTGAGGTTGGGGATCAAATCTGTATGCACAACACCCAGTAAATCTGTACACTTGACTACCAACCTCATTGGCTGAAATACTCAATGTGAAATTGATTACATTAGTCTGAAACCAATTTTGAGTCATTATGACACAAAACTGCAAGCTATTGGACATAAAATGGTACTAGATGAACGTTGTCATTCAAGGAAGATGCCGAACATTTGATCAATGAAATGAAGCAAATAATTCTGCACTTTTGCAGGTATAGTGACATTGCAGATTATTGCTTTACCTGATTTTGAGAGAACTGATACCAAAAAGATGGAAATGGTATCAGAGATAGTAGGAACTGCAGATGCTGGAGAATCTGAGATAACAAGGTGTAGAGCTGGATGAACACAGCAGGCCAAGCAGCATCAGAGGAGCAGGAAAGCTGACGTTTCGGGCCTAGACCCTCCTCCAGAAAAGAAAACCCCTGAAGCTTTCCTGCTCCTTTGCTGCTTGGCCTGCTGTGTTCATCCAGCTTGTTATCTCAGATGGAAATGGTAGTTATTTTTATTCCCTATTAGGAATGGGAGGTCAAACCCCTCTGATAATTAAAATCGAAACACAAGCCTCCAGTCTGTTATGGCAGGAGTAGAGGTCCCCTTCTGATATTTAAACCCGAAATACCTAAAGAATCTCGCTCCTCCTTGCCTAATCTGTTGGTGTTAAGGAGAAGGGGGGGTTAAATGGAAGAAAATCCCTGATACTCATTTTACAAGTAACAAGTAACAATTTATTTATTTAACCCTAACAGTGAACAAATTAACAGCATTACTAACAAACCAAACAATTTCCCCCTTAACAAACAATTCCTGAAATTCTTCAGGTATGCTGTCCTAGTAAACACAAGTCACACTGAGATAAACCCAAGTAATAAGCAAATAAATTAATAATTAATCTCTCAAAGTCTACACACTTTTTTTTTCTGCTGTTCTCAAATCGTAAACACCTTTCTTCCACTGATCTGGGTGTCAAGGATGTTTCCTGTGAAGTCTTCTGTGAGGACTGTTAACTATAAGTGCGGGTACCTTTTATGGATAGATGATGCCTTCCTAGAGAGCTTAACAATTTCTCGTGAGAGCTAAACACTTCTCAGATGGCAGTTTGCTCTCACACTGATTTTCAAAATTCTCTCCTTTATATACCTTGGATGACATATCAATTTTCTTATAATAGCATTGGTCTGAGGTTGTCAAAACAATCAGATTTAAATCCCATTGGCTTTCAATCGCTAAGTGCTTGGTTTAAATTAATTGGCTGATTCTATTTAGTTGCCAAAACATCAAAAGAAGCCTAAGGATTCCAGTCACACAGCCAATTGATACATGTTTCAGTTTCAGAACTAGTTGTTCATCTTCAGCTACGTACACTTTTTTTTCCCTCTATATAAATCTGTCAGCTCAGAAAAGCACTTTACCTTTTAAAGGAGCCATGCACTCTTCTCCCTTACTTTTTAACAAAAAAATTCTATTCTCCTGCCTTCCAATTCATGATTACTCTACACAACTTTGTAACACCTTCCCCCTTAAGAAAAAACATAAACCATCATTATGAAAAGATGGCTCCATTTTAAAAAAAAATCTTAACACCATTATCATGAGATACCTACGTCAGTAATCTAAAGTTACACCTTTCATAGTAATTCATTATACACATAGAACCAGTACAATCCAATGTTATATCTTGTCTACGCATTTTCTTTTAAACATGAGATAACGCATGTGCACTAACATTTTTACAACCCGCAACATAAACAATCTGTAAATAAAAGCCTGTAATATAAGACTCCAACAAAATAGTCTTGTATTCTTGTGCTTAAATCTTTCCAAAAAGGTGAGATTTGTGGTCTGTATGCACAACCGTCTCCGAAACATTGTTTGTAACATAAACATTAAAATGTTGTAAGGCCAGTACCAAACTCAGTTGCTCTTTTTCAATGGTGGAGTATTTTCTCTGGTAGGTATTGAATTTCTTTGTAAAAAACCAATTAGCTTTTCAATTCCATCATCATCCTCTTGCATCAACACAGCTCCAACCCCTA